TTGAAAAGGCTGAGGAAGGAACAGCTGGGAATGGCGTGTTCGGAAAACTAAAGGGTGCATTGAGCAACACCGTGGTCCGAAGAGGACTTTATGCAGGAATCACTGTGCAAGTAGCTCAGCAATTTGTAGGAATTAATACTGTCATGTATTACAGCCCAACCATCGTTCAATTTGCCGGGTTCGCGTCCAACCAGACGGCTATGGCGCTGTCTTTGATCACCTCTGGTGTCAACGTGGTTGGCACCCTCATCAGCATGTGCTTTGTAGATAGATATGGAAGGAGAAGGCTGATGATTATCTCTATGTTTGGGATCATCACTTGCCTGGTGGTGTTAGCTGGGGTGTTTTACTATGCCGCAGAAAATTCTCCCAAGATTAGTAATTTGGAATCTGCTAGGTTTGGCAACAACTCTACATGCCCGGCTTATGGCTCTGCTTCTAACCCTGCATCATGGAACTGCATGACATGTTTGAAACAAGACTGCGCCTTCTGTTCTAGCAAAGTGAAGGATGTAAGCGCACAACTAACTAGTGAGCCTTTACTCAACATAAATTAAAGATTTGACCTCAACTAATCCATTTGTTTTTCCCTTAATTGTTGTCAGCTCGCCCCGGGAGCTTGCTTGGCTGCCAATGATAACATGAGGGATTCGTGTCGCGAGGACCGTCGTACGTGGTACAGCAAAGGTTGTCCCAGCAAAATTGGAATCTTTGCAGTGATCTTACTGGGACTGTACATTATTATGTATGCGCCTGGAATGGGAACCGTACCCTGGATTGTGAACTCAGAGATATACCCTCTGAGATACAGAGGAATAGGTGGAGGGATTGCTGCAGTTTCAAACTGGACAGCCAATCTCATAGTCAGTGAGACATACTTGACCCTCACCAAGGCTCTGGGTTCTGCCGGAACATTTCTACTATTTGCTGGATTTTCTTTAATTGGACTTATATTCATTTACTTCCTGGTTCCTGAAACCAAAGGAATGCAATTTGAAGAAGTTGAGAAGTTGCTTCAGAAAGGCTTCAAACCTAAACTATTTGCTCCCAAGGACACCAAAGGCAAAGCCAAAGTTGAGGAGTAATCTAATTTGTTAGGGACCATATCATTAGTTGTGTGAGAATTGATGTGTATATGTCATGTCATTTAATAATAATACGGTCGATTATACTATGCTATAGTTTTTCTTTTTTAACTCCCTTTTATTTTTATCTTGAGAATATGCTAGTGATGAATGTTGTAGACACGTGAGAAATAGAATAATTAGTGAAAGATAATCTCTTGCCTGAGAGGAGAGGATTGGAACTTGAGTGCAAAAACATGGGTTCACTGTCTTGGCCAACTCGACTAAATGGTACCGTTGTAGAGACAGAGAGATAGAGACCATGACATACTGTTACTGAAATGTGTACCATCACATCACATTTCGCTCAGAGGCAACGCATGCAAAACACATCAAACACTTTAGGATTGGAGATTGGACCCGTGTACGCTTTGACGCAAAAGGCGCACCGACACCTTGTAATTCACTGACATTTAAAATACGAGATTGCAACCATCCAAGCAAACAGCGGGACAAAACAATACCTGCTGCTCCGCCAGCTAATGCATGATTAGTATGGACAAGGATTTATAAACAAGTATTCAAAATCTTTCGCTTGGTGGGGTTTGGATTGGATCGGTTGGTGGCCTTTGGATTGGGTTTGCCAGATGAATGAATCAATTGCATTTGCATGTAGGACAGGTGGTGATGGTATCTCGCGAGCAGGTGACCTACTTTACATCAAAGACAAGCAGCATGTCAAGGGCCCTCTGTCATTATAGATTTGCATATCTCCACTAAAATAATGCCCCTTTTTTCTCTCTACTTTCATAAAATTAAATTGTTTTAAAGCCTGCTGTTTGGCTGCCGAGAAAATTGCCCAACAAGAGGAGAATAAAGGATAAAATCTTCAGGAGATGACCTTCCTGTATTGGCATCTAGGCAAAGTATAAAGTTGCATTCACTACTAAGCAAGGTATAACGATCGTGTAGCTGGACAATGGTTAAAGGTCCAGATCCCCACCACAAATTGAGTTCAAGATTCCAATTTTGCTACCACCACCAACGGACACTAAAACACACATTGTGCTTTGAAGGACGAATCCGATGGATCAATTTCATCATACAGAACTTAAAACACAATATTGAAAAAAAGAGAGGAGATTTTTCCAACCAGCTTTAGACAATCTATCATTACAAGGAAAACCAGACAATGAATAAAACCCTTTGAGAAAAATTTGGGGCTTCCCAGACAAAACACGGGGAAAATAACCCAAATCTTTATCAACCCAAAACCACAAGGCAAACAAGTATTCCACCCCTACAAAAAACCAAGTCAATAATAGAAAAGAGGGATAAGAAACAAACAAGATACCCAACCAAAAACCTAGTTAAAAATCAAACATCTAAAAGTCAGTTTCTTGCTCACTAGCTTCTTCTAATCCTTCCTAGTACAATCATATTCTTCCTAGCTTCTCAACCACACT